TAAATAGATGAAACCACATCATTTACGACTCAATATTGGTCCGGTCAGGATGACTGTTCACGGGAACATGCAGAGCTCACAGGGAGAAAGTTGTTTGGGTTTTAAAAGAGTGAAAATTAAATCTCAAATTATCTTATAAAAAAGAAAGAAAGGTTGATCTCCAGTCAGAAGCTGCAGAACTAGAATATCAGGAACACTGTGGTTTCAATCAGCGCTGACAGTTGGTGAGTAGGCGTCCACCATCAATACAGTGTCTGCTCTGTAGGTCTTATTTTTATCTGGATATGAGGAACCTCTGTTGTTCTCTTTTGCAGAGTGATTACGATTCACAGGCGCTCGCACTATTTTTCTGTGAATGGAAAGAGGTAGATTTAACCGTTTCAAGACGCTGAACATCCTCTGTATCTATGGAAATCTTACAGAATTCAATTTGCGCCACAATATGCTGTAGCAGACCTCGAGAGATAATAAGAAACCAATACAACCAGACCCCAGAGAGCTTTCTCTGCGTCTGCCGTGCTGCTTGAATGACCAAAACCCCAAATAAAACACACTCCTACCTCTGAGAACTCTGGGTAATGTAATGTAAATGTAGCCAGCCTTGAATTGATTTGTCTTTAGAGTGAAATTCGTCATGAATATGTTGCATCTGCACTAAGCCAAGCTGTCAGTCACCTTCAGAAACAAGAGCGCTGAGGGTTTTTCTTCATCACCTCAGGCAAGGGTGCTGCATGCATACCACCTTAATACACGAGCGGCCCGATCCCCCGCTCTTGGCTGTGGGTATAATGTTTCGTTGAGCTGGTTTGATGCGGCTGAAAGGTGCACTTAAAAGCTTCCTTTTAGTTCTGTTGTGTCCTAGCAGCTGACTACAGATGCTGCGTTTGACATGTCGGAGCAGCCACGGTTGATTCCAATCTGTGGGCCGCTCATGAGATATTAATAACTCACCTGTGCATGTAGGTGTGTGTGTGTGTACATCTGTATGTGTGTGTGTGTCAATGTTTATGTGTTGGTAAAGGGAGGCTGAGTGTGGATGTCAAACACCCACAGCTCCCTCTAGCTTCTCTACGGTGAATAACCGACTGCACCAGATGCAGAGGGGGGATGGAGGAGTGAGTGTGTATGTTTGTGTGTCCCTGCATCCAGCTTCAACCAAGTCCAAGCTCATTTGTCCTGATTTAAGACAGTGACTGTGATCTGGGCTAAAGCAGGACCAGCATCAAGGACCAATTTGCTGCTCTGGTTTTCTATCACATCTCTGAAATCAGAGTAATAATGCTGCAGATCACCAAACACCTAACTAAATTTCACCAGATCATTAACAATGGACCAGCGATGCCCCTCTAAAGAAAGTCCCACCACTTTTCCCAGCAGCAAGCAGAGGGAGAGTCGCTGCAGGCGCCGTAGAAATAACAATGTGGAGAATCTTAAGAGTCAGACCATCAAAGTCTCGGCCAATGAGTTGGTAGAAAGAACCGATGAGAACAAAATGAGACGAGGCAGGAATAGAAAGATAAGATGAGGACTTAGACTGATTGATTTACTCAGATGAAAAGTTTGAGTGACCGGGAGAGTAACTGATAAACACTCGACAAGAAGTGGCACTACTGATGAAAAGAGCTCATTCATAGATAAATATGTAGTCGTCAAGGGGTCAGCGAGAAATACTGAGGAGACCACAGCATGTACAAGTTCCCCTTAAAGGGTCATGAGTTTCTATGACTACCAAACTTCTAGGAAACTTGACAGCCATACATGAGGTTGAGTTTTAGCCTATCTGTTGGCTGGCTTTCTGACTTATCACCTTCCTGTTATAAATCTACTCGCTACTAATCGTCAAAAAGAAAAACCTTTGACTTAGCAAAGGCAGCATGATCGCGCAGACAGGAGTCCAGCGTGTTTATGAAATTTATTATTCACCTCTTCCTGTTGACAATATTTCTTTCCAGAGTATTTTTTTCATACTAATCACATTTTTTGTAGAGCAGAAAACCTTAGAGTAAGAAGTAGTTACAGCAAATCTAATATTAGGTGAATTATTTCACTTCTACTTGTTGATAATGATGATAATGTTACTTAGCGTCAGTACGCTACATAATGGCTTTTTGTCAATTAATTCATGGAGTGAAAAAGCTTTGGAATTTGTGACGTATTACCGGCTGAAAAGGTGAGATAAAGATGAGGGGAGGAGCTTATTTAAAGAGGCATCCACCAAATTGAAGAAAACAGACATGAAGCCGCCACAACCAAACACAGAGCAGACTTCAATAATGTTAGAGAACTTGAAAAAGAAGAAAACGCTATCAGAAAACAGTAAAGCAAGGTGTTGTTAAGATTTTAACTCTAACAAGTGTTAATTTTTCATGTTGTTTGATCATTAACCACAATCTTAAAATCTGCAGCATAACTTTGCTCTAGTTGACGAATAACTTTGCCTACTTTAAAGTTTTGTTCTGGTTGATCACTGTGTCTCTCCGTCTTTTATCCCCCTGCTTCTGTAGTTGTGAGTGAGTGACCAGGGCTGACCTCACACCCTGTGTATGATGACACTGAGATGATCCCACATTTTCAGGTATACTCTAAGGAAAATAAACGTCCTTTGTTCAGACTGAAAACCATATTTTGTTTATTTATACTTAGCTCTATTTATCATGTGCATCAGGGTAAAAAAAAAAAAAAAAAAACTTTAAACAAGACCAAAAAAAGTAGAAATTGAAGCGATCAAAACCCTTTCAAAGGTTGGTCCCTGAGAAGAGCAGCTGCTGAGACAGTTGGAGGTTTTACAGTCACATTAGGGTTACTCCTGTTGCTTTCTAATGCACAACACTTTGGCTCCTCTCCAGGTTCAACTGTCCCGTCCCCTCATGGACCCACTCTATCCCCCCATGAAGTTACAGCCACTGTAAATCACCTCTGTAATGTTATTTCCTCTCGTTAAATTGGCCTCTATTGGTCAGGCCATTTTTACAAGGCTGCTGGGTCCATTTCTGTTGCCCTCTTGCCAGCTTTTGTTCTTCATATTGCCCATTTCTGCAGTACTCCACTCCTGTATTTCCCACCGGATCCTTTCTGCTTCTATTTGATGAATTCACTGTTATTAGATATCGAATGAGACGAGAATTAGCAGACTTTTTTCAAGAGTTTGGAAACATTAATTTTTATAGGACTGCAGGAAATTAGAGCTGAAGACTTGCGGTTCTTGAAACAAAAACACTGTTTTGCAGACTTTAGTATTACTCGAATTTCTCTTATGCTCTTGCATTATTTTTTCCATGGTGTTGATTTTGTTGATGATGGGCTGGAAGCAAATACGTTGATCCCTGTTTACTTTGTTTAAAACTTTTATAAGCAGTGAAGCTTAAGTCTAAGATTAAACTATTGTTGCCAGAACCAGAAATTGTTATTTCACCCTAAACGCTGGCCTCAATAATCCTCGATTATCTTCATGAACATTGGTCAATATTGGTACCATTTTATAAAATCGTTCTACAACCTAAAGTTAGAGGTCAAAACTGGTGTCAGTTCAAATCATATAAAGTACACTGCTCTTAAAAACTTCAGCCACACGGGTCGTAAACATATATTTCTTGCGAGTCTTTTGCAGCAAAAACCTCAGACAGCCTCCTATTCCAGCTGCAAGAACGTGCAGGAAGGTGATGAAAAAAAAAAAATGCATGTGTGAACACGTAAACAAACACAGGTGGGAGTAGGATTTTTTTCCCCCCAGCATTTGACACTGTGACCCGCAAAGCCTGGAGTTCGACTCCTTCCTGCGTGAGTCAAACTCCACAGACATATGGGAAGCCATGTGCCTGCCTGCCTGCTGTGCTGGAAGCCCGGTGCTGTGGGATAACTTTGACCAGATGTCAGAGTTTCCGCTGGTATAACTCTGGAATACTCGAACCAGACTGAACAGTGTTAACTGTGAGTATGACAGGGTGATAACTGTGATTATTTTGGGTGACTGCTTGTTGCTTAAACGTCATCATGGTAATAAACTTGCTACACCAAAATAGATTTTTTTCGTCATTCATCCCCTTGGCAACTATTCTCAAGTCTGGGGGGCAGTATAGGTCTCAACCCCATCCAACAGCTGGGTCTTTAACTCATACTTAAAGGTTGAAAGAGGCTCTTCTCTTGGTCGAATGGACCGATGACTCATTTCGCCACTTAGGGGAACAGAGTACAGTAGGCGAACCTGCAGCTTAACCCTGTTGTGAGGGGAGCACCAGGCCTTTCATTGGCAGAGTGCAGTGGACTAAAGGGAGGGTGGACCTGGACGCAAATGTATTTTTTTGTATGATGGTAGGGGAAGGTCCCGTCCTCCTCCGCCTCAGCGCTGGGCTCCGATTGGTTATTCTTAATGGCTGGGAAACGTCATCGTCATCGTCACTTCATTAAAAAAAGTGTCTTTTTCACATGTGACTCCTCACCTAAGGTATTTCATATGCGCAAAGCCCCCTGTCGCAGGGTTCTCGCTCAAACAATGAAAATATAGAGGAAAAACACAAGTGTAGTCTGAAAAATACAGTGATGGTGAAATTTATTTGAAAAAAAGGTCAAATACTATTTATAAAATGTACAGGGCAAAAAGGAAAATGTCAACAAAGTAGGAATTCCACTATAACTACTACTATAAGGTTCTCACTTAAGAAAAAAATAGCAGTAGTACAAAAGTCAGTTTGGCGATTACTTTAAATGCAACAAACTCCAGACTGAGAGAAAGGCCCGGACAGCCTTCTTTTAAACCCCACTAGCCCCTCCCAGTGGGCGTTACTAATTACAAAAGTTTAGAAAAAAAAAGAAAAAAAAATCATTCACACCATTTTTACCTTTTTTAACCTTCAGACCTTTTTCTGTAAGTTTTTACCCTTGTTACTATAAGTTTTAACAAACAACAAGGAAATTGATTTTTCTTGCATCATGTGACCACTTTGAGACTCCGTACCCACCTATTTCACACCCGGAAATCACGCGCTCTGTTTCTCACTTGGAAACCTGAGCCAGCATGGTGGCGAATGAAGGGACGCCCGGCAGGTAAGTGAAGGGATGAATGTCTGTGTGAATGAATGTTCAAGTGAGCCGATAGAGCTCCAAGTGTGCAACCTTGGCTACCCTATCCAACAGAGAAGGGAGAGGGTGATGTAGCGCTGTTTCGTGCGTAGTTAGCGACGCTGGCGGGGAGGGAAATGTTTAGTGTGTGCGTGTGTGTCTGTGTGTGTGGCTCCATACGCTGCCCGCAGTTAGTGAGGACGTCGCTCCGTCATTCCCCTTAAACGTCTAAGTGGTGGTAATATTTCTAATGTTAAAATAGTAGCAGTATTTCCACATTCATTGACAACAATGGCTCAAGGGATGCGACGGTGGGATGGCCGTTTTGACCGTTATGCTCTTGCATAAATAATAAATCATTATATTTAATGTAATGAGAAAGTATCTAGCGCCCTCACCTCTTGGTTACAGCAGGTGTGTGATTCAAAGTTCAGACATGAATTTTTCAGTCAGATAGTCACAGGGCTCTCAAGTTTTGAACTAAGCTTGGAGTGAGGGCAAGGGTGAGGAGTGATTAAAGATAATGTATTAGTATACTAATCTAATAAATACAACGGAGAATAAGGGCCACATTAAGAAAAAAAAAGAAGACTTCGAGACTTAAGTCATTATTCATGAGAATAAAGTCATAACTAACGAGACTAAAGTCATTAATTTATGAGAATAAAGTAGTAAAGTTACCTGTTGTGGAGGAGAGTTGTTAAGATCAGGGCTGCGGAGCATTCTGATGGATTGTACTTTAGTAGAGGTTTCACAAACATGGAGATACTTAATTCTTTGGTACATCAGCATTACATTGTCATGAGTATCAGAACTTCAAAAAGAATATATGAGAAATGCATTTTTCCACAGAAAAAAAAAAAAACAGGTGTACTTTGAGGGAAATGGCTGTACGGAGGCTATATCTGTTAATGTAGCTGTGAATAGCAATAGCATAGGGCTTTAGTTTATCATATGAGTCAATATGCCATGAGGTGTTGAGGCCTCTGCAGGTGTAGGTTATTAACTTACTGTAATCATCAGGTCTTTTTCGTCCTTATGACACCTGTTTCATTTTGGTGAGTGTCCGTCTTCAAAATCTACCAGGATACAGCGATGCTACTTTTTGAATACTTTATTTGATTGGCTTGCGTGTCACACGCAGCTTCTAAACTCTCGAGGGAACTCACTTGATTCCTACCTTCTGTTGTTTAAGAGGTGCAACTTGGTGGACGTCACCGTGGTAATTTAAATGCGTGAGAAATACAATGTGTGGCGTGTGAACAGGTGGGAATGCGTGCGTCACACGCCCAATGCGTGACACTATAGAGCCCTGTAGTCACTGATACTGAGATGTAATGTTGGTAAGCATTCATGATACCAGGTTATTGTCAGGTCATGAACATAGCACTGTTTTTTAAATCTGTGATTGTTGTTGAAAAAAGGCAGAAAAACTCCCTAAATATATCTCCAATGGCTGCGAATAGAGCACGCTGCTGTTTGTAAAGCTTTGATTTTATAAGATGAGAGTCCTCTTTGGTTGAATGAGTAAATCCTCCCTGCCTTCATAAGCATCATCAGACTGTGAATGACGACATTTTTACAGCGCTTGCATGATGTTCATGTCTTTGACCGCGTTTGATAATTCATACTCGGAAAGTAAACGTTAGTGACGTTGATAACACGATGACGACTGTTTGAATCAAAGTACTTTTTCCGTCACATATTTCATCATTAAAGCTATCTTAAAATTCACGTCTTGAACCCAGCCTCATGTTGTGTCAGGTCTCGTCCCGTCTCGTGAACCGAGTAATCACAGTTCTGCTGCATACACAATATAACTGATGTATGAACATGGAGCCACTTCTGTGAATAATGCAGCACAATGAGAAGTCATCTTTTTTAAAAAGGTGCTTTTTCTGGATTAAACTCCTGACCCCTTATAAAAAGACTTTATTTGTCAGACTCCTAAATGAGTAAATAAGTCAGATTTTACAAGAGAATAGATGCATATTAGGATATTTATCATGTTTTCTACACCATTAACATGCTCGTTACACTCCTAAATGTTATGACACCAGACTTGTGAGCATGTATGTCAACACAGCCAGCACATGATTTGAATATGCATCAATATGTATATGTTCCCAGATGGTTTCGCCTGAGAGAGTGGAAAATGGGTACAAATACGCCTGCTTTTAGCCACCCACACTGGGCCGACTGCTGCGTCACACAGGCTGGGGTGTAAAAGCGAGTGAGAGCTGCTGTCAGGTTGTTCGCCTTCTGGCATTTGATGGTGGTCTGGTGTCGAATTTGGGCAAGACCACCGCACACTGTTATCCTGGAACTTAATGTAAGAGCTCGAACATTTGTCGTGAAAAAGTGTGGAGGAAAAGAAGACGGCGAGATGGAGGGAGGCGCGTGGAGATGAAGGAACAGCAGCACAACATTATTTAATTGCAGTGTGGCTGAGTGATTGTGAGCAGGTGCTGAATTCTCCCTTCCTGTCGTACAGAGACAAGTGAGATCTACAGCTCTCCTTCAGTGTGCATTACTTTTACTCCTGAACCTTCTACTTTAGATAATCAGGAGAGTATGATTCATTCATCAACCCCCCATGTCCTTCACATTCAGTATTATGTATCCCAAGCTCTTGCTGTGTATTTTAGTATCGAGTGACTCCATCCAAGGTTTGAAAATGGGTCTGCAGAAAGAGCGAGAAGTACAAGCTGTTCTTTCAGCGGGACCTTATTCAGAGAAACAGAGCATAAATGCATCCAAGGGCGGTATTCTGAAGACTTCGTACTTGAATCAAGTAAAATGAAAGCCAGAAGATGGGATATATTTATCAGAGGATAGAGGCAGCGCAAGAAACCTTGAATAGTTGTGTACAGTATGTTCATGTGTTTAATAAATCCTGCAGGTATAAATTCACAGTTTTTGACTTACAACATGGCAATGAAGTGACTGAAGAAATCAATACATTTCTATTTACTCCAGCCACGTACCTTTAGTGTGTATTTTATATAATTTAATTAACACCACAGAGACTAAAGGTGTACAGTGTATACATTTAGACAAAATGTGTGTAACGCTCTATAGTGTAGCTACACACTGACGAGCACTTCACAAAATACAGAGATGTTCTGAAGTGCATTCTACGCTCTACGTTAGACAACAAATATTGATCAGCATGTATAACCCTACTATGCCAAATACTTAATTCTGATTGGCCAAAACGACAGGAATATTTCTGTTGAAGCTCTATTTACCTTAGACTGAAGTTTACAGCCTATTTTTGTCCCTGTTTAAGTTATAGGGCAGCAGTAGCTCAGGAGGTAAAGAAGTCAGCCAATAACCAGAAGGTTGGCGGTTTGATTCAACCATATCCCTAGTCTGTCCCGAAAAGATATCATATTGTGGCATATCTGCACCGTCTCAAATGTTTTCTGTGTATTTCCCATATAACACACGTGTAAGTTCAAATAAACGATTGTGTGAATAAATTTGCACCAGTCTACAAATGATAATTTGGCACATACAGTATATGCCCTTTATGCAATATAGGTGCAGCAAATATAAGACATTTTCAAACTTTTTGTTTTATGCTAGCCAACTGTATGCTTTAATGATTGTCTGGACCCCCCAGATAATCGGCAGAGCTGGTGGCTCATGTTGCTCCAGGATTGTGTCTAGACGTTTTTTTACTTCGGTGACACAATTGGAGCACTGTAGACAAGGTGGGCCAGTGTATGTGTTCATACCATTGATTGTATTTTCTATTGACAACGTGGCTCCGCCTCCAATCATTGTACAAATTTGAAGCCATTTTGCTCTCAGTATTTTTTTATTCCCCCGTTTCCTGGAACTGCTATTTGCGCAATAGCGTTCGGCGTAAAGTCGCGATGATGACACTCTGCTCAAACAGATCTACTCAATCTTTGTATGTCCATAGACTTAAACACAAACCAGTTTACAATAACTACGTCAACATTGAGACTAGGGGAAATAAAATTACATTTTTTTCTATATATTTCCATGTGATTAATTTCTAAAAGTTTGTCAACAGTTTCATAAATTTTGCTGGAGGAGGCGGAGTTTATGACCTATACTGCAGCCCGTCACCAGGGGGTGCTGTTCTCACAGAGGCTTCACCCAGCTAAGAGGCAGATGACATCAATTCTATATACAGTCTATGGTTCCTACACATATATGATCCACATTTATCCTTCCTGTCTTCTCTATCTGCTTTATTATCGTTGCCATGCCAGTATTTTAAATGTTTACTATTTTCATCGCCTTAAACTTTCGAGTGGCAGCTGAGTCAGCCAATCAGATTTAAAGGGGGTCAGTGACCACTCGAGATGCCACTCTGGACACACCCCTGTGTCACAGCTTTGTGATTAGTCCTGCACATGCATTTACATGAACAAGATGTCCAACATGTGAGGTGTGTATTATTTGTATTTTATGTTTGAATGTGATTCATTCCTGGTATTTGTGATTATTAAAGTGAAACTCCTCCACAAGGTGAGTCCTCTGATGCAGAGGTTATTTCTCCCATAGTTACAGCTTCTCAAACTGCAGGTGGGATGAGAGGGAACAGGTAGCAGGAGGGAAGGAGGGGGTTGTTGTTCAGGTCAATTGGCCTTGAAATAGTGGCAGGCTTTCACCTGAGAGTGAGAGCAGGCTCCTTTCCCCCTCAAAATATTCATGAAGCAATTATAATTCATTTGATTAACAGGGAGGAACGCAGAGACACTGTGATGAGCACTGTAATTATGGGATTTGTGCAATGTTTGAGAGATAAGGGTGTTTGTTTTTTCCTTTGTGTCTATGCATGTGGGGATGTGTGAGTTTGTGTGCATGTGTGCATGCTCGGACATGCATGAAAATTGCAATTGACATGGTGGGGAAGGGAAAAGCTGGATATCCTTGAGTTCTTGCCCCCAAAGAACCTGTTGGTTATACATATTAATGAGTCAGATCTGAAGCAGGTCTGCAACCAACTACAACAGTCCATTTCCATCGTGATGATCTGCAATCTGTTTATTGGTCGTAACTAAGACTCTGTCGTCCTTATCGAAGAAAGATTGATAAGAGTACAGGAAGTAAACGTGTGTTTCTTAGATACAGATAGTGTTTTTGCTCCTGTCCAAATCTCAGCTGTTGGCTCAGATGATACTGCTGTTAAATGAGGGGAAGGATATACACACCTTCTGTCTATCTCCTTCCACCCACTGACTTTCCTCCTTGATGCACACATCTTTCTATATGGAGACACTGTGTTGTTGTTGTTTTTGTCTCTCTGCCTGAAAGCTCTTTCTTTGCTTCATAGATAGATGAACATGAGTGCTTTAGGTCATCAAATACAGTCTGCTGCTCCTGCTGAGACTGAAGAGTGTGTGAACGGGTGTTAGAGTGTTTCCTTGCAGTGTACAAATAAAAGGTGCATGTGTGTGTGTGTGTGCATGAGCGTGCTTGTCCGTGTGTCTGTGTGCATTGACACATAGGAGTTTTGCAATCCATCATAGCACTGAAGGTTGCTATAGAAACACCTTTCCTCAGATACGCGGTTGCTGACACTGGGCTGCATTTAATCCATACTGGAATATGTTTGGGACTTTTGAAAGGGCACTTTAACTTTTTGCTGGTTCTCCATTGATGTGCTGCTGAGACGCTCAATAGAGGGACTTTATGGAGGCACAAGGTGGTCAAGAGGGTGTGTCCTTGTGCAGCTTTAATATTTTCCCATCAGGAACTGCTTCATTACATTTCAACGTTCTTCATGTGCCTTCAAAAAGATTTTTTAAATCTCACCAGATCAAAATATATCATTTCTTTGAATTATATTGTTTAACCATTTAGGGTGCCACTTGCCATAGGCCTCAGAGAGAGATCCAGAGAGATCCCGGGGGCGCCTCAAATATACAGGGCTGACTCTTTCTGTTTTGTATGCAACCAGCAGAATGTCTAACAGAGGTAAAACACTCCAGGTAAATACCTGATCCACATCATGCCAGTTCTTTAACTCATGTTGCCTTATGATGATGTAACTCAGATCTGTAAACACTAAGGCTAATAAAATCTCTATTCAAGTGGACCTCCCATTCTTTCAGAATGGTAGAGGTTTTATGTATCATATCCAAATTGTTGGTATGACATTGTGTAATAGTATGGTAAAATAAGGTATTGTTATGTGTGGCATGGTGTGAAATAGAGTCCCATGATATGAAATTCAATTTTACTGTATTGTATCATATCGCATTTATTTTATTCTATTGTATCGTGTCGTACCATACCATATCTTATTGTATCTAATCATACTGTACCTTACTGTACCATATTGTATCATACTGTTTCAGGTTGTTTTAAATCAAATTGTATTGTATCTGATCGTATTTATTCATACTATATCGTATCATATTGTATCTACTGTATTGTATCATGTCGTATCGTATTATATTGAATTGTATCATACCATATCACATTGTATCCTACCGTATCGTATCATATCATATTGTATCGTATTATACTGTATCATATCGTAATGTATCGTATTGTATTGTACTGTATCGTATCATACTGTATCGTATCATACCGTATCATATCATATTGTATTGTATCGTATCGTATTATATCGTATTGTACTGCATCATATCATATCATACCGTATTAATTCTATCGTATCGTATCATGCCGTATCATATGGAATTGTATCATACTGTATTGTATTGGATGGTATTGTACCGTATCATATCGTATTGCATTGATCGTATCATATTATATCGTATCACACAGTATTAATCATATTGTATCATCTCGTATCCTATCATCTCATATCCTATCATATCAAATTGTATCATATCGTATTGTATCATACAGTATTGTATCGTATCATATCATATTGCATTGATCGTATCATATTATATTGTATCGTACTGTATCGTATCATATCAAATTGTATCATATCATATCGTATTATATCGTACCGTATCGTATTGTATCGCATCATATCATATTGTATCGTATTGTATCGTACGGTAGCATACTAAGTACATTGTATCTTATTGTGTTGATAGTATGTACAATATCTATACCATTTTTTTAACACTGATAAACAACTTATTAAGAAATAAAGTTGGAAAATTTTCAGAAAACCTATAATACAAACGAGAAACTACTTTCTTCATGCAACTTTGGCTGAAATCAGTGCTCTGTTTGTCCAGTGAGTGTATCTCTGTGTATCTGAATCAGAAAATCACTCTTTTGCATCTTTGTACTTCGCCAATAAAGCCTCTTAATCCTGTTATTTTTGTTTTTCTCTCTTTCTGTTTAAAAAAAAAACACTTCAAAATAAATTTGGATAGAAATGAATTTAAATTGCATGTTATTAAAAATGTTTCCTCTCAAACTTGTGTCCCCCCAGTCTCCAAGCAACATGAGCCAACACTCCGACTCCGTTCACTTCTACCAGACTTCATCTGTTGTCCCGGCGGCTCCATGGGAACAGGTAATCAAGTTTTGTGAGCTATTGTCTTGGAAAGGCAGCAACCTGCCTGGTAATTTGAAATGAGTGAGTGTGATGCGGAAAGACTGTTGTGAGATTTTTGCTTGGATGAGAGAGAGACAGAAGGAGAGACAGGAAGGCAGGTTTATCAAGTGTGTGTGTCTGTGTGTGTGTGATCCAGCCAGATTGTCAGGAAGAGAGATGCTGGCATGGACAGTGCCAGTGGAAGCTCGCTGTCCCCCAGGATTCCTCTGCAGTGATGGCTATTGGTGTCTGTCTTCCCCTGGGGACAGCTGCTCTGTCATCTCTCACACACTAAAACACACACACAGACACAGACACACAATCCACAGACACAGCTCTCTGCCTCCCAGGTATTCATCTGTGTTTTTTGGGATATACCCACGATCCTTCACAGCTGCAAACGTGTTCCCTGTCTGAGTTTTCGGTGAGATGTGCACACACTAACACACGAACAGTAGCTCAAGACATTTCTACACTTCAGCATCCATTATTGCCCGGCACAATGACAACAAGGTCATGCCTCCAGGCGTTCTGCATTTTGTCAAGACTGACACCAGCGTGCTGCCGTTGCCGTCGCCGCTCTCCGGGATTTATGCATCTCTCTCAGGTTGTTCATTTCTTGACATTTTCAGCTCAGCAGGTGGTGAGAAATCTCTGAGCAGCAAACACTGTTTGAAACGCGTGACATCGGTTCATGGTTTCACACGTGTTGGAAAAAGCAAGAAAAGTCTACAAAAACCTATATTTTATTCATTCCTATAGGATGGTGATAAAAGTAGGTGAGAAGTAACCTGTTGCCATGGAAGCGCTACAACTGTTGAATCAGAAGGACTTCATTTTTAAAATACTGTTATCAAGAATCAGAACATCATAACAGCTTGTTTGTATCTTTAGCTTGTCATTGGTTGATAAGTAGTATAATCTAGTGAGCGGCGACTAAGCCTGTTAGCATTCTATTTTGCTCAACCACCCACTCACTATACATTATCCCTTACTTATAATAGCTGCCTTTGGATAAATCGTTCACTTAACACTCATTACTGCAATAATAACAGCTTGAAAATGACAGATCATTACAGATGGACTAATACGCTCATTTACACCTGTCATCATGTCAGAACGATGCACCTACAGAGTAGCTTTGCATAACCTGTTTGTCTTTTATGACCGTTGATGATGAAAACCCTCATTTTGCCCCGCCTAGCCTCCGCCTGAAACAGTTTGCTTTTCCAGTGATGGGTGTTAACGGCAATTTCCACAGCATCCGGAACAGCTACGAAAAGGCCGTATGCGCCGATTGTAGCTGATCGTAACCATTCAATTTGATGTGTCAATTTCCACCGGCTTCTTTCCGCTTCACTGCGGATCGCCGGACTCTGCAGCTGATAGAATAGAATAGAATAGAATAGAATATTCCTTTATTGATCCCCCATGGGATATTTTTTTTTTTTTTGCCACAGCAACAACACAGACAAAGAAAGTGCAAAAATGCAGTTATAAAAATAAAGATCATAATATTAAGAACTTATTGAAATTAAGAAAAAATTTAGAAAAGGAAAAAGAGAGAAGAAAATAAAACTATACACAATATATCGATCGCAAGAGTTCTATTTTTTCTGGACGCTGGAGCATGCCGGATAAATTCAGCACAGATTAACCCGTGCTGGAAAGGAAGTCGGGCACAGACACAAAATAAAAGGCGAATCGTATGCAAACGGACGAGGACGAACAAGTGAAAGGTTTTTAGACAGCATTTCATCCCGATGACACCATGGATGAGAGGATACCATCTTAAACTCAACGATCAAGATGACAGGAGCACACTGTGACTCTGCTGTGACTCCTGTAAAATGGCTAGATTTACTCGACTTTCAGTTTTTAGTCTGGGACTGTGAAAATCATTTGGTGGAAGCCCTGCATAAGATGCAAATCCAGCTCTTTCTGGCTTTTCTTAATGAAGGAGCCATCAGTGATGCGGGGAGCCCAAACAGCAACCATGTGGCTGTTGTTGTTTTTAAGAAGAGAGTCTAACTTTGACTTTTGACATCCAAAATAACACTAATGAGCAACAACAAAGCTCATAGTTAGAGCTTGCTCAGGACTGGGCCAGCTGCTAAGGGTTTGGACTGCCGGGGGTCCTGGCACATTGAGCACCTTCCCCTCCTTCTCCATCGTCTTTCTGTCCATGTTATGATCTTTGACTCATCATATACAGTCTTTTCTGGGAGTCATTGTGCTGTTTAAGTATCGTTATGTGTATTCATATAAGAACAGGCCAGTTTGATGGGTCTCTTCTACTTGATTTTAAAGGTATAAGAAGCATTAACAACCATTCTCCAAATTTAAGGACACGCTGTTGTAGAAAATGAGAACTAAGTTTCAACGACTCTTTTTCTAATTAGCTAGTCATAACATTTTCCCCATTAATGGCTCATCAATGATCTATAAAGCATCCAAATTAGCTTTAACCATTTATGAAAACATCATTTGCAACTTTAGAGGGTTTAAATTAGTCTAATGGTTCTACAAGATAAACACCAGAGAAACAAATATTCGATACAATATGACGGATATTTCCACGCTCATTAAGGTCCTTGGTGTAAAGAAGTCAATACCGAACTCCGAACAGCTCATCTGCAGAAAGACACTGGTTCCAGAAAAAGTGCTAATTAATGGTAAAAATATTCTATCATTAACCATCACACTCTGAGCGATGTACGTGAGGAGAGTGAAATAAATGACAGCTGGCGAGAGCGCTCAGCAGAGGGATTTGGCAACTGTGGAGTGTCTTCCTCCTTCCCACAGCGATCCGTCCGGCTGAGACCCACAAACACAAAGAGCTGTGTTTTTGGATCGGGGCTCTGCTTATTACTGAGGCACAGAGAGGGAGAGGGGGGAGAGAGAGCTTACAGGGGGGGGAGAGAGAAGGGAGAGATTGGGGGCAAAGAGAAAGCCAGGAAAGGACGAGTGCCAGCTCTGCCTCCAGTGTCCATCTCAGATCCCTCCATCCTGTGGCTCCCTCCTCCTCCTCCTCCTCAGCAGCTGGCCGTTTTTTTTTTTTACCCCAGCAGAGAGGGAGCTCTGTGATGGTGCAGACTGAGAAATCAGTGTGTGCTCCCGCTAAGAACAGAGTCTCTCTAAACTCTCCTGAATTCACACCCGATATCTCCTCCAACATCGTCCTCTCTGGCCTTCCATGGCTCCTTTCTTTTCATCCTCTAACTCCTCTCCATACCCGCCCTCCTCTCCTGAATCTCCTTATCCTCTCTTCCTTGTAATTTTCCCCCTTGCCTCCCTCTCTCCCTCCCTTCACTCCAGCTGTCACTCTTGTCTCCGGTCTCTTTGGACCGGCCTTCCAGTCCGGTTTTAATTGACTCGGAGTGACATGCAGCTGGGACGATAGAAGTGGTCCTCCTGGGGAGGTCGATATGTACAGATATGGAGCGTCTCCATCACTGACTGGACTCTACAGAGTCAACAGAGGCTGGCTGCAGGGCGTGAGGAGCAAGAGAGACTTTCTCATCTTTTCCAAGTCTTATAGCAGAAACGAGGTCATGTGCATCATGTGGCGTGCTTTGATGTTTCAGAGCAACACACATGTAATTCAAAACAAGATTTAAATAAGATATAGCTTTAACCTTTGACTTTGTCAAGACTGTAGGCCAAACAAAAGCATCTATGTACATTTTTCCACTCTGAGTTATGGCGACTCAGAGGTAGAGAGGCAGGATTCTGTTTAAGAAGCATCTTTTTTGTGGTGTATCAACAAAAAAAGCTTTTAATACCAGTCAACAGCTATTGAGCGGCATCCCGCTCCTTCTGATTGTAAACACAGCCATTCTCCGCCTCACCCAACCTGATTGGTTGTGAGGCAGACGCTTCTCCTTCATGTTGTGAGGCACGCTCCATGTTTTCCAATAATGTGCATGAGCCCAAACAAAGTTAACGTGTTACAACATCGGACAGTAGAAACCAACCAGAAAGAACGGAAAACACAAGCAAGAAAACAAAGTAAATAGCGGAGACTCTGGTGGAATAACGGGTGCTTTAAAACTGAGGTACACCGGACAAGAGCTAAAAAGCTGGGTCAACATCAATGAAGCATAAACGATGGGGGACGATTCAGGATCTTACGGACCCTGTAACTTTCTGCTGGACAGGTAAACCGCTTTAACAAAGTAAGCCAAGTGTCTGTAACAGAAGTGTTTCTTGTCAAACGGGACCTGCTGCGTGTTGTAGCACCGCTAAACTGTTGACCTCGGGTCCTGGACTATGTCACTTTATCCTGGTTGTAGGATAGTCCTGCAAACATTGTGTTTGCTGGTAGTCTGTTGAGTAGCACCAATGCTGTTTACTTTCACATTGACTGGGCCCCATTTGTAATCATCTGAAGTATTTATCTGCTTTATATCTGACTTTAATTGAAACGATACAAGCCAGCAGAAGCTTCTGTTTGTGGGCGGGGCTTGCTGGAGCAGAGAAGGAGGGGAGAGGAGGAGCTGAGGGGAAAACTGGTTGGGAGGGGTAGAGTTTACATTCAAGATTTCTCCCAGAAACTGGCACTTCCTCAGATCCTGCCTACCCCACCTTTAATACGCACCCGGTTATTTTTAAAAACTGAGACATTAACCAGTGTTTGCAGCCTTCGTTTAGACGCAAAAAGACGATTTGGTGCTTTTTAAAAACTTTGGCCGGAGTGAAGACTTTGGAAAACTTAGTGTTCACGTCTGCATGTAAACAGAAAAAACTGAGATTTGGGTAGCTGACGGCAGATTGTGCGTGGGGAACTTGGGTAAAATGCAACGTTGTTTACAATCTTCAGTCTATGTTTAGAATCTACGGTGATCATGGATGCATGCAGAATAGCAATCGCATTTATGCTGGTGCAAATACGAGTGCTGCACCATGTGGAGGAGCAGAGACGGGATGTGGGATTCTGATTGGCTAACATGGGTTTAAACGTCTTGCTACACTGCCACCTACAGGTTTGGTGTGCTCTTGACAGCATATATACACGGGTTAGTGTAAACAAAAACTTTTCTAAAAATGTAGTGGTGTACATGCAGTGTTTTTGTAAACGGAGAGGGTGAAATGTCCGTTTATGAAAATAGCGGGGCACGTGTAAATGTAGTTAGAGATGCACATGGATTTTCAAATAAAAACCAACAGCTGATACGAATATTTCTGATATTTTAATGCATTTGTGTGCTTTAAAACGTTGAATTTGTGACCTCTGAGAGACTGAGATTTAATGAGCAAAGCTGCATGTGTGTCAATGCTCTATACCTTAACAGAGAGCATGAAAAAAAAAGATCAGTCTGGACTCCTGAGTTTACTTTTATTCATTTTTAACCTTGAACACAGACAGCATGAAATGTTAAGTTTTCGCTCTCATCCAGCCGTCAAAGGGACCCGTACAGGGCCTTGAGGCTGAGGATACTCACATCAGGAGGTCAAAGCAGTGAAACGTATCTTACTGATGTTGTTGTTGATCAGATTATGAATATGTGGATGAATGTCGCAGGAACTTTTCCTACGAGGTTTGAACTTTCAGGTGAAATAGAGTTCATGCAGCACTTTTCAAACTGGACATCTATTTCTGATCAGCTTGATGTGACCGGTACATGACAGCAGAAAATATTGACTGGAGAAATAACTGATCGTGAATTTTTTTCTTCTATTTATCTGTGATATTAGACGATATTTTTTAACATAGTGAGTGAAAACATAGATGGATATGAAAACTGGAGTCATCTTCTAACAGTTATGCTCAATATTTGTGTTGAATATTCATGTCAGACATCTTTAATCCGACTTTTGAAAAAACTGACAATCATTTCAGAGTTCTCCTGGAAGTTTCACTGGAGTCTAGCATCCAGTCAGTGAGTGATATTCGATAAGGAGGCGTGTCTGTCTCTCCTCTGATTTCTCTCCTCTTTCCTCTCTTTTCAGAGACGACTTAAGGACTTTGCAAACTTACGGTTTGGACAAGGACAGAGGACAGAGGAGACTGCAGGTAAGAGCTTTGAGATCCAGATCCTTTTCTCTTTTTTGGGGTCATTATAGGGCAAATATACAGGCCAGGAGTCGAATGAGCGACCATTGCGACAAGGCCTACAGCCTCTAAACATGTGGCGCATAAACTGCCGGGCTCTCAGCTCCTCAGATCTAAAACTTCTTTAAATATTTACCTAAAATAAACATCCAAACTGGTGAAATTTCAACAAAATCAAAGTGAATGATCTGTTTTAAACTGATGTCAAATAAACCCTGTGAAGAATGTTTTGTGCACATGTCGCCTTCACAGATTTTAGAGCCATTTTTTTGGATAACCCGCTCATTTTTAGATGAATTTCTTCCGAATTTTTGTAAAGTTTTGATTAATTTTTTTCATGTGGAACAAAAACAAGACAAAAGAGGATATGTACGATGTTAACCTGCTGTTTCTCTAGTTCATCTCCTCGTCGGTATGAAATATTTTACTCTGAATGACAGCATCTATCCAGGGAGTTCTCTCTACATGTGACATCAGTGAGACATTGTCTCAAAGCGGTGAAACCGGCGTCTGTACATGCGGGGGTTAATAAGGTTTAATTACCTGTGTCTGGAAGCAGGTCTTCAGGATTTTTACTCGAGTAAACATTGCTCTCACTCCTTTTCACTTGCGATACATTTTTTATTCTGGAGCTCTCACACGAGAAGCCGCACCGACCTCGACACACCACGCGGTTAAATAATGCATCGAGAGGTACTCATACATCGAACATCTCCAGAGAGCGGAGTAGGCCAAGAGTTAATCTCCCATAGGTCTGCTAATTAAAAATTTAATTTAAAAGAAATGGGAGTGAGAATTAAATAAAGATGCCGACAGTGTGTGTCCGGGACATGTGCAAACTTGAGAGTGCATATTACATATACATTTGGATACCGGCTTAATGTGATGATGGTTTTTGAATATTTAAATAAATCAAAAGTTAAAGCAGGCTGCACCGAAATATTTATATTACATTTTTCATTGAATCAATACTGAAATATGTAAACACGGCTCGTTTGATGCCGTTTTACTAACTTGCTGTAAACTGTGATCAGAAAAGACTGTTGATCAAGCATCAGCCTGAACAATGGAGCTGTAATTTTCACATTTATAAGGAGCGCTGGACTGCAAAGGAGTTGTGGTAGGTTTTGACATAACACATAACTAAAAGAATGGCAATAAGAAAAAAAACAGGCAAACAGGCAACAATAAAACAGGCTTAAAAAAATAAAACAGGTGGTAAGGAAAGTGCAGTGAGTCATTGCACATTTAAATATTACCCATCATTTCTACTATCAACCTTCATTGGGCAGTCTAATGGCCGGTGGGAAAAAGCTTCTCCGCAGCCTGCTCGTGCAATGACACCACAAAAAGTCGCTAGATTTGTCGCTTTTTTGAAATTAGTCGCGAGAGGGGTCTGAAAACTGGCTAAATATAGTGACAAAGTTGCTAAGTTGTCAACACTGAAGACAGGGGCTATATGGACACACTAGGGCCTAATCCCAAACCGTCCTCTACACATTTCCCCTCCGTTTGTGCGTCCCCGCAGAGGCTCCGCCATATTGAAGGCCATCCCAAACCACAGAGTCTGCTCCGGGGTTTGCAGGTTGTGCGCCGGCAAAAATGGAGGAGGAGGAAACAACATACAAATGTAAAGTTCTGTATGTGTCCACCTTTGTCTGCAGAAAATGTAAAAAAACAAACTGTTTCTGTAACTTACTTTGTCTGACGCCTACTTTGGGCATGAAAAATAACTTAATAGAAATCATTAACTTTGTAATAGTTTGTGTGTCCTTTAAAGTCAAACAGAGGCATCAGTGTTGATTTCACTCTTACCTGCAGCATCTCTGGAATTTAAAGAAAAAAAATCATGTTATTGTAATTATTATTACCGATTTTTTTTCTTTTTTGAATTAGCATTGTTGGCATTTTGTTGTCACAGAGTTCATAATATGTGTTTGACAAGAGGACGGTGAGAGTTGGTTTACAAACTCCAGGAGAAAATATCGATCCTCTCTCAAACAACTGCTGTGGATGTCTCTCAGCCTCCTGAAACATCCAGAGAGAGTTGAAAAGTTAATATTAAAAGGAAGAGTGGAGTGAAATGTGTTGCTAAAAGGCACTCTGCTTCAAAGAACCCGTCAACAGGCGGAGGTGAGCCAGACATCCAACAATTTGTTGTAACAACGTTGGCCTTGTGCTAAAGCAGAATGTCAGTCCTCTCACTGCGCCCAGCAGGTGCAAGCCCCTGAATGGATGACCGCGCAAAATGGTGGAAGGCAAAAAAATCAGAGGCTACCACAAGGTCACGGACCATGTGACCTCTGCTGTACTGTTCCCAACAGAGTCCTCTGAGAGCAGTCAGTATTTAAAGGCAACAATGCATCCGTGATGGGAAAACATCAGGGGGTGGTGGACAGCTGCAGTCAAACCCACAAACGCCTGTGCAAAGTTTGGACGTCTGATCACTGCTCGTCTGGTCTGGCTCAGCTGGACGCTTTGCTCTCTACGCTCCAAAATTGACTTTAACTAAATCTGGTGATGAAGCACAACCACCTCTCACACTGTTTGTGTATTTGACTGACAAACAAACAGAGTGAAGTGAGTTAATCTGGATTTATCCCTCTCAACAGGGACATTTCAGTTCAACTTTAGGCTAGCAAGTGATTTTAAAAAACTACTGGAAATACAGTACAATAAACAGTCAAGTTCCACAGAGCAATGTTTAACCCTCACATACTGTTCAAATCCTGTACCCTCAAAGTATGTTCCAGGTCAAAATTGCTCCTTCAAAGAGTTCAAAGAGCAGCTTTCTGTCACAGAAAGTTCTCTTGACTAGTTAGGTCATTTTGACCTCTGTCTAGGTGTGTCTGTGTGCGTGTGTGTGTGTGTGTGTGTGTGTTTCTGTCAAGGTAATGATAGTTTCATAATGATTTGAATATATCTTTTTGAACAACAAACCTTATATTGAACACTGTTGTTACTGTTTGTCACTTGTTCCACACTGCTAGATCTAAAATCCATCTAAATATAGATACGGGTCAAATCTGACCCATAACAGCCTTAGAGGGGAAAAATTTGTAGCACATAAACAAAAATACACATGAATATTTTTTAATTAATTTCATGTATTTTGGGCAACTTCAGGAAAAGTCATCAAGTTTCAGGCTTAAAAAATGATGTTTGGGGTATTTTTACTGCTGTTAAAAGTCAAAACGGGTCAAATTTGACCCGAACAGTATGTGAGGGTTAAAATACAATAAGATCCACAAGTGTGAGACACAAGATAAGAAATAAAACACTCCTGAAGCTCCAGTTCCGCACAGGCCACATATGATCATCAGCCCACTTCCTGGCATTTAAAAGCCTGATGGCATCATTTTCTGGCCTGGAGTAAAAGCTATACTAACAATTTCTTTAACCGACTCATATTTACAGTATCAACAATCAAAAGTGCCCAAATGTAATTGTTGAAAACCTTTATTCTGTTGTTGAACATAAAGGCTTTCATACTTCAGTTCACATGGACTTATTCTGTCCTGAGCTGTTGTTGCTCACTTACATTATTTCCTTATTTTTGTGGTTTTTATTTTTACACACGGTTCCTGCACTCTAGGGTAGATAGCTGTCTGTCTGAATGCTGAGGTGCAGGGTTGGTAGCCTATTTCCTTCACACCTGAAGGGGTTTTTGTACTTTGCTCTCCTTTCTTGGCTTCAGTCTTGAGGAGATCACGCTGTTGCCCCTTGGCTTTAAAAATGACCCGAGGAGAAAAAAACCTTCAGGATCAGTGAACTCACTTCAGACTCACTTTGAGAAACTTTTGTGTGTGTGTGGTCTTTCTCTTTACTGTCTTTCTTCCTCACTTAACTCTATGTTTGCATTTTTTCTTCTTCTTATTGCTAGCTTTGTTCACATTTCTGTCCTTTATCTCTGTCTTTATATGGACCATAACTTTCTGTTCCCTACTGTGTCTGTGATACGCTCAGTCAAAACACTTATTTCTAAATGTGTTATATGAATAAAGGCATAACTGTTACCATAGCTTCTGTACTTGAACAGTGAGGATTTCCAGAGAGGTTAAACTGGAATTCAATTAACAAAGTTTGATGATATTAAACTTACTCTTTGCCCCTGTGAGGAAACCAGTTATAGCAGGGATTCAATTAAAGTGAAGCATTATTTTCATTTTAAATTCTCGTGTTATTGTGCACAAAACGCCGAAGCAAAACCATTTACTAACAGGCCCCACCAACGGCTTTCTAATCAGCCAACACAAATGGCACTAAGCACCCTGGACAGCTCCAGAATCAGCTCCAGGATCAGGACCATGGACAGCGCTCGTGAGGACGTTTGGCTGCAAAGAGATTTTGTTTTTGTGTATTTAAAGGGAACAGACTGGTTTCTACAGTGGATACTTTTGCATAAACAATCTGTACCCTAAACTTTCAAAAGACTGATATTTTAAAGGGTTCCAAGTTTTACTAGTCGCTATCACCAGCTGACAGGGAATTAATGTGGACTCAAGCTGTTTCTTTCCAAAGAAAAGGCCCATAAAGATATTCTATAAGTGCTAATATAAAGTATAAGCATGGTTTGAAGCTTAATTTATTCAAATGTTTTTATAAACATGCACATTTGTGGTATAATTCTCTCCTGCAGTCAACCGTTTCTGAAAATAATCCCATGCAGCAGGCGGCTGAATCATGCCCGAGGAAGAGTGCAGAGCACCAAACGCCATATATACTCTATCTGCAAGTCAGATTACTGACACCCTCATGTTCATCCGTGTGTGTGCACCTCTTTTTATAAAAGTACACTCAGAGCATCATGACACTTCTCTCCTCCTGAGGATCCATCTTAAAGACATCTTTTTAAAGTGTGTTTGTATTACCCGCAGTTACATCTCGGCTGCAGAAGACGGTGTCTGCTCTAGCAGGTATTTTAGCTCATGTTGACAGAGCTTGTTCAGAGCTTTACTTTGCTGTCAGAAATCCACTTTGTTTCCGTACTATTCTCTGATACAGTATGTGTTAGTCTGCCTGCAGTGCAATCATTTATTTACATCTTCAGGCTTCCTTATGGACACAAATCCCCAACCTTCCTTTTTATATACAGAGCATAAAGAAGACGATTAACTTAGCTGAGGGAGAAACTTACAGGAGATCCCAAGTTAACTGGAGACATGTAAAAAACTGTAAATCAAAGGATACCAGCAGCTCCCATGCAGCTGCAGTCGACATCACCCCCCCACTCAGAGTCCCTTACCTCACTGAAAGCTGCTGTTTTACAGACTGTCTCAAGTCTTCAGGAAACTGGAGACTGAAGGATGAAAAAATTCTTTGATGGACTGGAACTGGTGGAGGTGTAGGATGGATTGCAGCATCATGACCAGTGGCAGATTTAGGGGGTGGCTACTTGGGCTCAAGCCCCGGATGTTCTCTCAAGAGCCCCGGATTTCGGATCTGAGCTGGTCTGAGTTTAATGTGCAGTACTTGAATTCACCAGAGAGTGGCAGCATGCGCAGGAAAGCAGCCTGTAGCCTTCCTGTTCAGATGAAGAAGTGTTTCCCTCAAGTGGCTGTTACTACGCCTCTATTCTACTGCCAGCATCTGACGACGAGTCAAGCAGCTCCACGGCGAATTTTAAAAGGAAAAAAAATGATATCCGAAGCTTTTTTTGAGATTAAAGGATTGGAGAACAGAGCAGTAAAGGACAGCAGAGGTACCAGCCAGGATCACAGGTATAGCAGTAAGGAAATAAGAGGCATTTTATTGTACTTTATTTCACATCTTTAGTTTATAATCAGTCTGAATAAATTTTTTGTTTTATGTTTTCTTTTTTCAGGGGAAATGAGACACATGTTCATGACATAAGACAGTGACTTCACCAAGGCTGGTGGTAGGACATTTGCATCATTAGAGGGTCTGAAGTTTTTAGTGTTCTCCTCCGTGTCTTTTGTCGGCTTTGAATTGGTGGTAAGTTGAAGTTTTGTGTGCGTGGCAGCAAAAAAAGACAGATAAAAAAAAATGTCATCTGCACCCTTAGGGCTGAGCCCCTGATCTCCTAGAATCCTAGGTTCGCCCCTGATCATGACTGGTCATAACAAGCTGGTTTGTAGATACTTTCAAGAGTAAACACTGACGATTGGGTGACAAGGGCAGCAGGAAGAGATGGACGGATGTGTAAAAACATCAAAATGTATAATACAACAGTGTTCTGGGGAAAGGTCAAGTTCGTCATTGTGCTGCAGGCGGAAAAAATAAACAAGCGACAGATCAGGGAATAGCTTCATCTGTGATTCTCCACCTGGTTTTTTAAACAAAAGCTGACAAGATCCTCTGCAGCTACTGACCAACGGCAAGTACCTCATATAACCCCACTTAAAAAAAAAAAATACAACACTGCACTATTCCTCTAAATTTACACTGAGCCTGTCTTGCAAGTTGTTAATTATAAGGATCTTTACATTAACTGGTAATATGAATATTATGTGTATATATGTGTGTGTGTGTGTGTGTGTTGTTCGTGCTGAGAGTGTGTTGCATCTACAGAAAGATTCATCAACTTAGTTCAACTCATTAACTCCCGAATGAGTTTGCTTTATCAAAAGAGCAGTTCCATATATTGCATCCACACGCACTGATCCTTACGGAGCAACTCGACTAAAAGAATATCTAATTAAATAATCAGGTTGCATTTCCTCCGCATTTGATGCCAAGTCATGCATACTCTTGGCGCTGGAGGAGATGATTTTGAGCATTAAAGAAAACGTACATGTCAGTTTTCCTTTTCCTCCTCCGCCTCTCTTTCTCTCTCTATCATCGTCTCTTTCTGTGTTTCTTAATGATGCTGTTTAAATGAAAATATCTTTATAAACTCAAACTCTCCTTCGGTCATTGTAAGAAATATGGACACTTAACTGATTATCTACCGAGGCATATGGTTGCTCCTGTTGCGTCTAATTATGCCGGAAAGATTTCACTTCTCCTTCACACCAGAAGGAGAAGTGAAAGCTGAAGGGGATAGATTTTTCTTGTGATTCAGAGCAGAACTAGTGAAAGTTTCAGGGTTGAAGTGTTGTTATTTGTGTGAAGTTGTCCTACCTGTAGGGGAAATATAGAGTGTGTAGGAGTTAAATTATGCACTGATGTAAAGGTCTTTGATTTGTGCCTCTATGTGTATTTGTAGATCCAACGTATCTGACTGATATAATTGCTGAAAATTGCGTCTTACTTCAAACACCTGCTGCTAATACACAGCTTTTTTTTAGAGTTAGGATCATTTTTTTCAGTAATGTTCAGAAATGTGAATCAGATTGATTTAAAGTTTGAAAGTTAAAGTTGATGTTCTTAACTTATAGTTTGTTTACATGTGGCTGTTTTTTTTTTTTTTGCAACATAAGAGTAAAATAATATTTATGCAGAATATTAAACTGCTCGATTAGCCCCACAACTAAGTTTTTAGTTTTGTTTTGCACATGCATTTGTGTATAAGAACACATAAGAAGACCGTTTTTGAGGTTGTCATTTAGGGGCTACCCAAAAAACGTTCATTTTTGCAATGAAAGGTCGCCAAACTTGGACAACGAGGTGGATACCATCACTACACCACTTTCAGGATTGACCGGTCAGTGTGACTGGAACGATTAGTGTTTTAGAGTCAATGCAAAAACTGGTGACATCAATAAGACAGCAGGTCAACTGATGGTGGATATTTTACTGCAATACAACATAGTTGTTGTGTCTTTATTCATCTTGCATTTATAAGATTAAGCAATTTTATTCTAATATCTAATATTAAACAAAGCTACGAGCTAAATTAAATATTTTATCACATAAATGTCGGCAGAATATTTAGCTGACAAGTGACTCTTGGATTTATTATTGTTTGTAAATATAGCTAAATAAATATTGGGTCAAAAAAGAAAAATTCATATATAATTCCATTATTTTATACATGTTAAAGTCTTACATGGACCGATATGTAGGCTCATAACATGTTTTGGTCATTTAATCAACTCATTATTAAAGCTCCTGCAAGGAACTTTCAATTTGTGTCAATTCTGGCGCCCCCCTGTGGACAAAGTCATATTTGTGTATTTTGTCACCAAAAAAGTTATAATTAAGTTATTTTTTGGGTGATTTTTTCCATTATTTGATTAGACAGTGTGGAAATCTGAAGAGATAGAGAGAGGGCAGGACAGCACATTGTCAGCGCTGGACTCGAACCTGCAACCACTGTGAGACTGTGATCCCTATATGTGGGGCATGTTAACCTGTTTGGCATCTTCAACATATTTTTAGCAAAAAAAAAAAAAAATGCCTTTTAACAAAAAATCTCATCCCGCTGCCTCATGCTTTGTCTGTCAAATTTGTCATTTATTGCGAATACTTCATCTTGTTATTTCGCCAAAACCTACCCCCTCACCACAGCTTCAGCCTTACATATTACTTTGCTAAAAAATATCTATCAAGTAAATGATAGTCTTGTTTGCTTTTGAATATTATAAATATGAATTTTAGCATATTTTATAGATGAAAAAAAAAACTTCACAAGAGCTTTAAAACAAGCAGTACGCCAGGATCTGCTGCAGATTTCAGAGCATAACCGCCTCTTATGTCAGAGGCAATATTTACTGCATTATCGTATACACCATGACAGAGTTTGCAATAAATATCAGTGACACCAGGCTCTTGAGCACCAGATGCTGAAGATTCATGCATGGATTTGTAAGATTAGGGGCGTGACTGAGTTGATAACTCATCCAATAGACTGACAATTTGATGAGTTGTCAACTCAACCACCGCAGACTTAAAGCCTGTCTCGGCCGCTCCACCTCTTTGCATGTTTGTAGGTTGATTGAATGTTAATTGAAGGCAAGAGAAGGTGTGTGACCAAAGTGAGAAATATAGAGATATTTCCAGGAGAGGAAGAAAGCAGAGATATGTGATTTTAGTGAGACTCTGACTCTAAATGTCAGGTGTAAAGGTGATCCATGTGAAGCTCATCCAGATAAGAGATGCATGCAACACACACACACTGATCACCCTGACAACCACACTGCGGTCTGTGAGGATCAAACATGTGAACAGCTGTAATTGCCTTGTGAGTAAGCTGTTCTGAGTGTTGAAATTTTTGTTGAGCGTTCAGTAACCTTCAGCGGGTATCACTCTTGCGGTAATACAGCAGGCTGACATTCAGACGCACCCTGTCGCTGCACAAATCTCATTACCACAGCTGGATTATGTTGCTGTCTTCATATTGCTGGATCTGAAAGTGTGTGGTGTTTTTTTTATTGTCTCATAGAGCTGAAATCTCTCTGGATCCCTGATTCTTGCTGTAAGACCAGAAGCCTCATTACCTTATAATCCTTTCTGAACTCTTTGGTAACCATGCTAATAAGGGTCAGGACCCGATTACAGAAAAAATACTTTCATACATGAACAGTTAATTGGAAAATAGTATTATAACTTCCCAAGATCATTAACTCTACTAACTTTGGCAACAAAGAGTGTGAGTTAACTCCACATGTCAATACACGCTAAAAACTATTGGGATATTTCTTCAACCCAATTCCAAGGTTATACGCGTTGAGTGAAATTTCTGGGTTATTTTTCAGATCCGTACCCATTTCTTGGGTCATGTGGATTCTCTTGTAACCCAATTTGAGGGTCTTTTGAATGGGTTAATAATTATGGGTTATTTATGGGTTATAACCCAATAATTGGGTCAGTACGTTGGGTTCAATCGACTGTGTGGTTTCTAGGCCCTAATAGCAATTAAAGTGACCTGGTGACCTTGTGAACTTTGACCTTGATTTTATAGACTATATATATATATATATATATATATATATATATATATATATATATATATATATATATATATGCGCTTGGGGTAGCTACCAGTGCTCCAACATCCACAAACGGCAGCTGCTGTTGTGATTAGAGATTGAGGAGGTACAACACAAAAATGCTACGGCAAGGGGGCGCTAGCACGCCAGGTCAGATGGTTTTAAGTTTCCTGGTAGGTCCTTTTTTTTAAGATTTGACACATTTTTCACATTAAAACAGTTAAAAGGGAGGTTTTTTTTTCTTTTACAACCTGTACCCTATTTTCCCATGTACTTTTATCTAACTGATTCCCAGTCAGTGTGAGGGAAGTTGTGAGTTACCCAACTTGGGTTGTTTTTAAACCTGGGGTTTTTAGAGTGTATGTAGGCGGCTTTGCAACACTTTCATACAGCTAATGAAATGTCAAAAGGTTATGATGGACAAAAGATGGTGGGCAGTACAGCTCCCCAGAGTTAAAGCCAAAAATCTAGGACTGACTGTGTCAACATGCTGTCTGTTGTTATAGTTAATTATTATCATGATGACGTCTTTGCCAATGTTTATTTTTTACAGATAGTTCAGTTTATTTAGTTTAACAGATTATTTATCAGCATCTGATTTGGACTCTTATAAATTGGTGAATTATAAATAAACAGTCTTCTGGCTTCCAGGTCAAATTCACCGCTTCATATCACATTCACACACTGATGGCAGAGACTGCCATGTATATAGACGATCAGTTTTTGATTAATTCCAGTCACACACCACTGAGCGCAGCCAGTAAGGGCAGGTGGGGTCAAGTTTCGCGCCCAAGGAAACCTCAGCATGGACAGCGGGACCTGGGATCAAACCCCTGACTTACTGATTTGAAGACAACCTACTCTACCACTGAGCCACAGCTGCCCATGTTGGACCGCAAGAGGGTTTTTTTTTTTGTGACTCCTGAATTTTTACATAAACAAGTGTGTGCATGACTTAATTTTAAGTTAAACTTTCATTTTCCCCTTTGTAAGTGTTATGGCCCTGGCCTAGGGGAACCAGGGCCGTACATGATTAAGTGCCCCACTCTTCCCACTCCCAAGAACCAGCCAATGAAGAGTTTTTAGATTCACAGAAAAGGCAGTTTTTATTCACTTTGGAGAGGAGCGATGCCAACACAACAAACGAAACAGCTAAATCAAAGACCCTAACTTACCTATAGTAAAATAAATGTAAAATAAAAGACAACAGATAACCGAACTCCTAACCCAAAAACAGGAGGAAACAAAATGGCTTCTCCCTCCTACGTCTGCCACTAAATCCTAAAGTAAAATATTCACAACTTAAAGTATCTTCGGATTCACAAGGCTAAGCAAAACTACATCACATGGTCTGCATGGACTGGTGGTTGGAAGTGGCAAGGTCTAGAAGAGGGTCGGCTGATGGCATCAGGTGGTTTAAATAGTCCTCAGCCAGCCAATCAGCATGCAACAATCATGTCACAGGTGCACAGAGCAGCAGCGCACACACACCTGCAGCTCATCTCTCACACAAAGGCTGATTTCCACTACAGAGGAGGGGAGGAGAGAGAGAGCTGTCAATCAACAAATAAACCAAACAAACTACATAAATGACGACAGTCATAACATAAGATTTTGAGTCTGTTTTTGATGAGACATGTGAACCTCAGGAAGTGAAAAAAACGACATCCAACAACAGTTTGTCTTTAACAGCCACATTATTAACTTTGCAGGTCTCTCCTATTCCAGAGAATTATATAAATAAACCTGTTTAATTTGGGTCATGGTGAGTGTAGTACAAAGAAGCTAACGCTGTCTGTCAAGGGTAAACTGGAAAACAAACAACACTATCCTGTGGCAAAGTCACATGGATTGTTGACCCATCTACAGCGCCCATCCCCCTGAACTCTCGCTCTATGAACTTCACCACAACTTTAAAAGAAATCACAGCCCTCATTTCTTCTTCACAGACAGAAGTTTTGTAAGTGAGGCCTCTTAAGGTCAAAAAATGCCCTTTTTTAAACATCTTTTTGGATGGACAGACTTTGATATGACTTTGGATAAGTAAAACATGTTTAATTTAGGCGGCCTGACTCTTTAAGCCATGATTTAAACATGAGGGAGTGGTTAATTTGAGAAAAGCTGGTTAATTACAAGGCAACATCCTGATGATGAAACACCTAGAAAGTTTTATTTCATTTCTAAATGATGCATTTTTAATCACTTTTGGCCTACTGCTGTGTTTAGTTTTAATCTTTGAAAGGCTAATCCAAGCAAAAAGTGATTTTCAAAACTTACAATACTGTTGCAATATTATTTTGCATTATATCTTTGCGATAATGTGTCCCCCAGCATTGTCTATACGAGCCTTTCATGCTGAAGACACGTACTGCACAGTATGGCTCCTGAAGCATAATCAGATCTTAACATCTGCCCTGGAGTGCAGATGTGAAAACAAGACCTCAAACCGCAGGGCTAAAGCTCCCTACTTCTGTCAACAAAACAATGCAACAACTGGCCAGTACTAAGGGCGATCAATTATTAACTTTATCATAGATGAGTGTTACGTATATAACGGTCGAGGAGAAGGAGAGACTTGACGTAATAAAGGGCCTGGGGCGGAAACGCAGCACTCGGGGAAGGGTCCATGTGAGGCGCTCCTCTCATCTACATAAGAATCACAGTTCTCTAATCATCCTGTGTGGAAAAGCATGCTGTCGCCAGAAGCCATGCCCAGAGATGAGGTGTAACATTAACACATGAGGAGGCCAATCTCAGTGCCATGTGATCAAGTATGCCCCTGCTGGGAGAAGAGACTCTGATTGCTGCATAAAGAGCATGAAACAATACAAATACCCAGAGGTGCTTTTGAGTCTGATGAATGCAGATGAACTTGCTTTCTTGAATAAGTTGTGTTCTTATTTCTCTTTGTACTTATCTGAATCAAGACCCTCTAAACTCTCATATTATATTCACACATCCTGTGGTTCAGGTGTCCTTTGACTCATCTGAGTTCATGGATTGTTGTGGTACTCCCGGTAAGCTTGTTTTATAGACAGAAATGAGCACAAATGTATTAATCCTTCAATCCTAGGTTATTAACTTTACGTTTGGATGTTAATGTGAAAATCTAATACCAAAACCTTTAACTTCTACCACACTAAGCCGAGGTGCCTAGGATGGTTGTCATCCTATGTAAGGGAAAGTGTTACCGGCAATTTCCACCGTATCCGGAATGGCCACAAAGAGCCTGTGTCCTCCGATCGCAGCTGATCGTAACCATTTAAGTCAATGTGTCGATTTCCTTTCCATTCCTGTGCGGATTGCTGGACTCCACAGCTGATCGCAAGAGCCCTATTTTTTCCGGACGCCGGAGCATGCCAGATAAATTCAGCACAGATTAACCTGTGCTGGTAAGGAAGTCGGGCACAGACACAAAATAACACATCTGGCTTCTTTTTACTGAAAAAGAACTGAAAATCCAGCTCTGCAGCAGCCTACTGCCTGTCGCACGGGAGCAACCAATACTGGAACATTACGGCCGCGGTCGGAGCAGCAAGACTTCCATTTCAAACATACTCTGCAATTCCCTGTTTCCAGGGTTACTTAATGTTATCAAGTGGGAGTCTGCTTCCTGTACCCAGATTTAGATCAAAGTCTGGTAAAGGGGTCTGCAGTTACTTTAGGGTGACCATATGTCCTCTTTCACCTGGACATGTCCTCTTTTTTTCGGGGCTGTTCGGGTTTGTCCAGCTTTGTCCGGGGAAGTTTATAAAATCCTTCAAATGTCCGTGGCTTTGTTATTAGGTTTTGATTTTGTGCCATGTGGACTTCCTTAGTTAGAAGCGTGTAAAACACGCTTGATCTGACCCGAAAAACTCTCAAAATTAACTTCGTGTGACTCTGTGACTCCGCACCCACGTGGTCGTGTCCTCTTTTTGGGAAGTCAGAATGTGGTCACCAAAACTTATTTATTTTCCAAAGTTACTCTGTGAGTGTTTTAATCTAACACGGTGTGGTTGGTTGCATGTGGAGTGTTACTTTTCTGTGTTTTTATTGTCTTTATGCTTTAATGTTTGGTTGCTACGTGGTGTGATGGAACACAAACAACTCGAGCATGAAGCAATACCTGTAAAATACCGGATATAATATGTTTGGATTAAATCTCTCGCTGGACTTGGATTCTGAAGACTCTCTGAGAACCTTTGAACAGGTTTTAACTTTAATATTGGTGTTAGCTTTCATTACATTTGAACAGAGTTAGCGAATTAACCTTTTTTAATGCAGTTACATTTCAACGTAACTGTACCCGCCTCTACCTAACACTTAAACAGACTTTATAAATACGGTATGTGAGTTGTGGTCTGGACTTTGATCAAACATTAAGAGCAAATGAACAAATGTTTTAAAAATGAGAATGAATCAGAGAAAAGCTTAAGAATTTAATAACTAAAGTAATTACCTCTGGCAATAAATCCCCTCTGCTAAGCCCATTGTGTGTTCAATATTAAAGGTAAATAAAGTCAAGTCATGGTATTTTAAGTACAGTGGGTAAATCCCTGAACAATAACATAAAGTAACAAATGACGTCTTTTTGAAGGGGTTTAGGGCCTTGCTGTATGATAATATCATGATGCGATCTGACACAAGAGTAAACAGGACATTAAAAGGTCACCAGAGTTCAACTGTATTTTTAGACGGCTATGCTGGAAGGCAGGGCAAAAAGTGAGGGACAGGATACAGAAAAAAAATTTAAATGGGTCACACAATTACAGCATCTCCTCGCAGGCGTACATTGGGTTGTACATGTTTATACATGCAGGAAGTTCAGTGTCTGTGTAACAAAGTTGGAAAAGCTCAAAGAAATTTGAACCTGGGTTACCTTCAAGCAGTCACCCCTGTCTAAAGTATGTGTTTGCCTATGTTTGGTATGTTTTGCACGCATTCAGGATAGTCCTAGACACCCCCCTTTGGCACTGAGGTAACTCTAGATGCAAAGAAAGATGTATATTTGCTGAAAAGATGAATAAAAGATTGATGGAATTAACAATCACTATGGTTTGTGATCTAAATCTTTGCCTTAAGACACCAAAATATCTGAAAACAGCGTGATGTTTCCCAGTGATCTCTTCATTTTTCAAAGCAGCTTTCCCTTCGACTGAACAAACACCAGCTTGAGAAGAATAATACATCATTTTTCAACATTGAAGTTTCACTAAAAATACAAATGAAGTTCATATCTTTCTGTGATTTAAGTGTTTTATTTTCAGATGGATCTGGTGCTGATCCGTTCTGCACACAGTCTTGGTCTAAAGAGGTGAGAGCAGGTGATGAGAGTTGGGTGCATTACACCGAGGAATGACTTTGGAAAAGGAACAACAAAAAGTGACATGGAAACGGCCGCCTCTAACATTTGTCCTCTGCAAATGTTAGAGTCCCTTGCTGAACCCGACGGCATCAAACAAGTCACCTTATCACGACCTGTAATTGAAGTCCCAGTTATTGGTCAAACGTTGACATTTTGAAAGCAGCCAGAAAATCCCCAAAGTTTCATCTGCTGGATGGAAACACAGTGGACGGAGAAGAGCAGATTCAAACATATTCTGAACAGGGGATCTGAACACACAAGTCAATGATGAACAAAGATCCACTGGGATGAATCAAAAACAATTACAGGAGATTGAGATGGCGTTGGTCCTATTTGAACTGGTGGACTCGTTTTATGAAGTGAAAAACAGGCCGGGACAGAAACCTCTGAAACCAAATTTATCACAGAGATACTGTGATTGTCAGAGCCACATGTTGTACCAAATACCCCTCTTCTGGCAGCACATTAAATTTCTATTTTCACACTGTCATTTCATTCAAAGTCACCATCATCTGAACAGAAAAATCAAAGTCTAACTTGGCCAGTGCTAGCTTTTCTTTCAACATTTTTTTATCAAATGTCAGTCTGTTTTATAACTCCTCACAAGTGCTTCAATGTATTTATTTAGGAACTCCTCTTGGCTCTGTTCTTAACTTACATGTATTCCATTTTACCTTTTTTTCCCCATTAAAGCTATGGTCTCAGCATCAGTTTTCAGTCCCAAATCCTTCTGTAGCTTTTTACACCGGTCGTACATTTCTCCAGTCTAGACTCTCCGTTGGCACCTGTATCATTTACGTTTCCCTCCCTTCGATGTGGAGGGAAACAAAAGTGGCCTCCTGTTTTCGGTGTTTGTCTTCTCCGGCTCCATTATGCTTCAGCAGCTGTGCAGCTCGCTTATCACATGTACGTGAGGGGGGTAGTGGGGAGGAGGCGGGAATATGGGCGGGACGGTGCAGGGCAGGGGGGACAGGGGATTGGATGGACTCACGGACTAATCCCAGCGGTTTGGATTGGTCGATCATCATGCCTTTTTGCAGCGGATATACTGAATGGATTTTTTTCGTTCTTTTTGATCTTTATATTGCGTAGATCGGACCATAGGACCATACATGGTCTTATAAAGGGTGTTATTAATAAATACCTAGCTTCCAAATGGTAGACCATAGCTTTAATGTGTGCTTTTGTTTATTGTCAGTGATTTTAAATAGGTATGTGAAGTGCTTTGTGTGTCTTTGTTTCCCCTTTCCCTGATTTTTCCCTCACTCTTGGCTCACCTGCCCCGGCTCACAAACACCCCCTCTGTACAAGAAACCTGCACTGTCACATAATCCCTGCTGGATTATTGTGTCATTTACTTTTTTTTGCATCATTTCAGTCATTTCTCTTCTATTCCTTCTATTCTGATTGCTTGATCATCTACCAATTTGATGTTTTTTTTTCTTCCTTTCAAGGCCTCAATTTTTTACCAGCCTACTTTACTAACTACCAAATCCTTTTTCAGCACCTTACCTGGACTTGGATACCATTTATGACACTTTCAGTGAAAAAAGCAGAGCTCTAGTTCACTAACCAGTGCTTCTAACCTACCGTCTCAATGCATTGTGGGTTACTTAAAGTCGGCCATATGGAGTTGAACATTTCCTCTGAAACATTTGGGCAGCATTTCAAGATAGCAAACCCACTATATTGTGGACTTTATAGTGAGTATTGAGTGGTGTTTGGACACATCTACAGTCACTGCAGTTATGGTCCTGGTGGATCAATACTTGTGGTTTAAGGCTGCAGACTCAAAAGGAACTAGCTGATTGGGCCAAGCAGTGCACTGCCATACCTTGATTGAATACCTTACAGTTTGCATATTATTCCTCATCACATCCTTTTATATACAGTGTCTGTCTGTCATTTCCAAGCAGTGTTACTACTTGTACTTAATTCCTATTGAGACATCCTCCTCTCTGTTTACTGTAAATTCTCTTGCGGCTGTATTAAGTTACAGCTAATGCAAAGTGAACATATCCTGCTGCCTCTGCTTTGCATTAAAAGCATTCGACTGGATGTAGAGCCGCAGGCAACAGGCTGCACACCTCCATCCTCTCAGCAAAGTAAACAATTCCTGTAACTCGTATTGTTGCTTTGCTTTGGTGTTGAACAACACACATGCTGTGCACCGCGTGAAATCCGATTGCAGAGGCAATTATATTGACGGACTTCTTTATTTTCACAATGTGATTTCTGTTGTTGCTCTGTGAACAGAAATATCAGAAGGTCTTCTGTTGTATTTTTGTCAAAATAGCTGCTCACTGTGTGTGCTTGCAACAACACTGAACCAATTTTTCTGCAACCACAGGTACGGGTTGCGAAATAAACGTGCTTCGAACTTATATGGACATATGCATCGCACTCCTGGCCAGTTTTAGAAATTGGACCAATTGCAAGACCACATACAACCATTAACCCAGATATCCTGTGTCACTATATGTGTTGCCGTAATACCAAGCCAGAAACAGTCACTATTACTGAAGACCCCTCCTGTATGCTCTACCCAGGCACCAAATATCAACTCCACTTATCCAGTTCAAGCTCTGTCATCCTTAGGGAAAAGGTGGGCTAGACAGGCTGCTAGTCTGTCACAGGGCTTCCCTCTATCTTAACTTAACTATTATGAGTATACAGTAATAAAGAGGCTTGGGTATGATGAACCAAAAATCATTAAAGCACATGAATTGCAGAATGCACTGCTACCTTAGTATGCAAGCATGGAGGAAAACATTAGAGGAAGCAGTGTCTGGTCATCCGTTTCCTTAGCTGGCTTGAAAATTTGACCCTCACCAGACCACTGGATTACCCAACAGTAACTTCTGTGATTTCTTAAGTTAAAGGGGTATTCCAGCGTAAAATTAAGTTAGGGTCAAACACACCGTAACACCAAGTTAGACACCCCGTCCAGAGATGAATGTTGCCGCCCGCTTGCTTGTCTAGTTATACCAACTTAAGTAACGACCGCCGATAGCAATACAGAGAGCCACGCGCTCAACCAAAAAGCCACTCTATAGCTGCAAATAATGTTCAGAACAGCACATAACTTCATCAACAGTACATATAGGGTCCCAGCCATAGTACTTGCGCAGTTTCGCAGCTCAAGGAAGAACATTTATGATCATTTTTTCATGGAAATGCAATCAGACCAAGACGCTAAGACAGAACTACCACGTCTGCAGTGCAAAATGACTAACATGATGATTATTCCTTCAAGGAAATGATAGAGTAATGATCATAAATATCGCTTTAAGATCTCTTAAAGTGTTTGCATATGTCCTGATCTCTCTGGTGTGCCCTCCTCAAGTAATTGAAATGGTTTGTATCCCTTGTCATTAATGTATTTGCAAAACTAACAATCATGCAATGGGGTGGATGCGTGAAATGCAAAGCTTGAAGTTTCCTTTGTGTTCTCGAATTGTCAAGGAAATACCAGTATGGCCTGTAGGAATGTTTTCTCTTTTCTAATTTACTTTCGTCACAGAGGCATCAGCTCTAAAGTGAAACTATCATAACCATACAAGATGTTTTTGTTTCTGGCATATTTTGTGCTAACAGTCGTTTTTCATTTGAGTCGAACATCAGTCTGTCTGATAGTGATTTTTGTCTCTGTTCTTTCCTGTCCCCGCAGTGCTCCTTTCAGAGACGAGAAATATCCGAGTTGGATAAAAATTATAAAGCCAGAACATCTCGATTAACAGCAGTGTCATCCCTGCAAGGTCAGGTCTGATGTTAGTTTGTAATCTTCTTCCGGCGAGTGCACAAATAATGCACTTAGAGAAAAACACATGCTCTCTGCAGACATGAGAGTGATATTAATGGAATCCTTAAAAGAAGTCTGACCCTCGTATGGGCAGCTGGGGCCGGTACAGGGCGGGTCGGGTGTCACATTTCAGCCGGGCACCAGCAGTTTAGCCCCGTCAGATGAAGAGGAGGGTGAATGAGCAACAACAAATTCTTGTGCCACACTGAATGTCGCTCCCCGGCTTTGCCAGGGTGACCTCTGTGGCCAATTATAGGGGAGGCTAATGCTTTGGCTGACATATCTATTTGAATGGATGAGATGTTTTTCTCATTCGCTGACACAGGAGATCACACGCCTATTATCATCACAATGGCCGTATACACAAGCTTATGTAAATGGCTTCTCACGCAGTAGTGACTGTCGGGCCCGCCGCATATTAGCTTTGTGTTTGGAAGAATGGCGAGTGTGGAGAGAATAGTGGGGATAAATTCAAGGGTTGCTTGGATATCACAGTCTGAGCTGTGAGAGCTATACACCCACAGATAACTAAGCCTTTTTTCCAATATTATTTAATTAGTTTGTTTGAACTGATTTGGAGGCTGCATTGAGGTGCAAGTGGCAATAAACCATACTGACTGGAATATAAGGCAACCCTGATCATGGGACAACCACCGGCGGCTTTTTCCAAGACAAATTTTAGGGAAGAATAAATCTTGTTTTGCAGTTTTAATTGAAAAGAATAATGGGATGGAAACATTGAATAAAACAATTTGGTATTTTCAAAGAATAATGTCCTTAATAGCTTAAAAATTATATTGTCAAAGTTAAAGCTCTAATAGGGAGTTTTTGGCTAGTTATTAAATAGACTTTGAATGATGCTGGTGTCTCTTTACATCTTGTAAAAGCAAATAAGACCACCAAAAAAGACAATGGCTATTTCTATTAGATCATCGCTAGTGTTGTGTTGTTCGCGAACGATTCATTCAAAAGAACTGAGTGATTCGTTCAAGGCGAGCGCTAAATAACTTTCGTAGATGTAGCTATCTTGTTTCTGCCTCCGATTTTGCTTTTTTCTGACTTAGTAACTGAAACGCTGGTAACTCGGATGTGACGTCATTTTCAGCTCGGACTTCTGACTTCCGAGGTAATTCGAACACAGCAATAGAGCTGATCGTGGACTATTGATATGACAAGTCATACCTTGGTAGAATCATTGCTACAAGAAGCAAGAGCCCCCCCATGTCCCCTGCAGCGTTGGTTGTCCACTCTCAAGAGGCTGAGAGCACCTTGTGGAGTGAAGTAGGGCGAGAGCAAAAGCTTGAGGCGGAGAAAAGAAATGGAAAACAGCAGCCTGACTGCATATTGGACTGGGCAAATAATACAGCCGGTCTAACCGACTCCCCGAGGAAACGACCCTTAATTAGGTCCCTTTATGTTCACCCATGCCAGCTCCTGAAGAAAAGCCTGAGAGGATAAAGAATCCTGTGGGGTTTCGGAGGTGCTGGCAGAGATCTTATCTTTGGGCCCATTCTGTGACTCCATTTGTGTTGGCTGGCGATATCCTCTGCTGCCTGCTGTATTGTCTCACCCCTGGATGAAGCGGACTTCCTCATCAGGCCTCAATTAGCCGCATGCATGGTGAAGGACTAGATAGTCAGGAATTAATGCGTGTGTGCAGGCACTGTGGGGTTGTTTTGTGTGTGTGTATGTTTGTATTGAGGCTGTGAGCTGCTGTCAGTAGTCATCCCGTCTGGGGGAAAAGTCAACTGATTTGCCTCCTGCACTCCCATGTTTGATCCCACTGCTTGCTCAGCCGTGAGCTTGTTTGGTAACCTTTGACATGCAGATGATGGGACCATATTGACGAGCGC